GAGGAGGTTGGACCCCGAGGGAGGGAGATGCAAGATATTGCAGCCCCGCGGGACACAAGGACGTAATCTCCACGACGGTGCCGGAGACGTATTACAATCTCGCGGTTCTCCAACTACGAAGTCACTCGGTTCCCGTGCATGAATGGCCCATTCTCCTTGGCCTGTCTCTAGGAAAGTCTCTATCTATTCCGATTACTGCTCCACCTCCACCTCCCATCTACCTATCTCTCTCACTCTCTCTCTTTCTCTCTCTCCCTGTCTCTTTCTTTCTTTCTTTCTTTTTCTCGTATCCTCGAAAGCTTGGAACATCAGCCGAGTTTTACCCCGCTTTTTTACCTACCAACCTACGCCGTCGTCGACTCTACAGCCGGCGGCCTCGGAGAACAAAGATTTCATTTTTTACTGGCACCAGGGACCAAGGCGAGAGCTCGGGCTCAGGATAGCGCTGTGGAGGAACTCTTCTTGCGTTGCAGATTTCTTTCATTACTACTCTTAATCACGGTAACGTTCACTGGCGGTATCTCTGTCTTTCTTTCGCAGATTTCTTGCAATGTCTTCTTTCTCAAATCGGGCCGGATGATCTTTTGAAGGAATCCTTTCTCGGCGTTATTACTCTGCTATAATACTACTTTTCCATCGAGGTCAAAGCCGTTTGCTAGTGGAGCAAAAAAGAAAAGAAAAGAAAGCTAAAAATGGAGAAAAAAAGATAGAAAAAAAAAGAAAAAAAGAGAGAAAAAAGAGAAAATGAGAAAATTGTTGGAAAGAACATGAACTGGCTTATGTGTTCGAATTACGTGAATATCGATCGAGTTTCACGCTAGCTCGTAAGAGCCTTCCTCAAAAACATCCTCGCGGCACCCTTAGAGCCCAGAGACTGTTAAAGAGTCTTTCTCGTCCTCAAGGATCAACGACGACTCCCTTGGTTCATCTCTTCCTCCTTTCTTCTTGTCGTCGTCGTCGTCGTTGTCGTCGTCGTCGTCATCGTCATCGTAGACGTATAGACGATGAAGGGGTGCGAAATCGTACGAGCATGTATACTGAGGAAGAATTGGAAGAGGACGAGGGCCAGGACGAGGGCCACAGCAAGCTAGAGAGAATCAGAACGAGAAAAAGAGGGTCAGGACGAGGGGGATCGGGAAAAGAGAACAAAGAGTGTAAGTATAAGGTGGACGGGGTTGGTGGAGGGGGATATAGCCTCGGCGTTCGTTCGGGGGTGGCGTTCGGGTGGGTGGTGCATATAAGATGGGCGACGTACAATGCACGCACCCTCAGCGCACTCAAGGCTCCTCAAGCAATACTCCTAAAGGGTGGAGTACGGAGGGAAGATTCCGAAAACTCGGCCGCTCAATACATGCCTGTGTCGAGCCGGCTCACCCTTCGTATTTTCTTTCCTTATTCTTCTCGTCTGCCCTCTTTCCTTATACCAACTCTCGTCCCTCCTTTTCTTTCTTCTTCTCCTACTTTATCCTTCCTTTTTTTATTGGTCGTGTAGTCCATGTTTAAACAAGTTGAAGAAACATTCCTCTTATCGATTAGAAGATCTAACATGAGAAAGACAAGATGTAATAACAGTTAAGAAGATCGAATAGCAGATTCTCTACGAGTGATTTTCTTCTTTCTCAGGGATTTGAGCACCCCTTGTAAGGTGGATACACCGACGACACTCCAATGTTCCTTGTGCGTTCTCCGTAGCGGCTGGTTGAAGCTCAAGTAGAGTCATCGCTTGTGAGAGTGCTTACCAGCTTAACGTCGTCGAGATCGTCGTCGTTCTCCTCCTTCTTTTCCTCCTCCTTCTCCTTCTCCTCTACCTTCTTCTCTTCTTCTCTATCCTCCTTCCACCTTTCTGAGCTCCATATCCGTTCTTCTTTATGAAGGAGAAGACTCGAAGGTGAATCCTCGAGCAGCGAGGCATCGTCTACAATATTTGAGAGCGACATAAACCTTATTCTTACGCCACTTTACCACAAGATGCAGTTACGGGGGTAGGGTGCACCCTTACTTCTAGCGTACCTACGCTGTGATAATCCCTTCGTTCTAACGACGATGCCAACGAGCTTTCAAGATTACATATAGACTGGATAGTATTCCCTATACTCTTCTTACTTTGCATTGTTTCTCATGTCTCGTCTTAAATTTACTCCTTTTTTCTTCTTCTACTTTTTTCCTCTTTCTCTCTCTCTCTCTCTCTCTCTCTCTCTCTTTCTTTTTCTTTTCGTTTCTAAAGAACATCTCCGCATATAGACGGTACTCCTCGCGAGTCGACTTTTTCAACGTCTTTGACCTACTTCCACTCTTAATCATCGCTCACCGAACAGTTCTATTCTTCTGTTCTCCGTCGAGGAAAAACGAGGAGACGTTTCCATTCCTTGCGTTATCTTCGAAAGAAACAATCGTTTCTACTCAAGAGAATTCTAAAGCAATGCAGCGGTATCTTGTCTTCTATTATTTCTAGGTATATACGTTTATGGATAATTATTTTTTAACGAATTGAAAAATAGGTTTACCTGAAGAATATAAGCAAGATTCACCTTAACTCTCTATTTGTTTAAAGAATTAAACAATTATAAACTTTAAATCTCGACAAATAGAAACAAAACAATATACATTCTCCAATCTTTTTCTTTAAGATTTTCATGCGATCAAAATTAACCTTAGAAAACGATTTAGCTTCAAAAAAGATCAAAAGAGTAGAGTAATTTGTGTATTTCGTTTGTAAAGGCTTGCAAATGTTTTGTGAGTTTCTTTAACCGTAGCAAGAAAGAAATCATTCTTCTATATAGTTGTCTCTTTCATTCGCTCACATCTTTTGTGTAATCTCAATTCGTAATGCAAGACTTGTATTACTACTGAAAGGCGAAAAGCGAACGGTTTCTTTTCGTCTCTCTCTCTCTCTCTTTTCCTCTCCATTTGTGTGTTTTTTTCTTTTTTCCTTCTTTAGGTTCAAACAAACTATTCGCTTCGTCGTGCTCGTCTCTAATGCAAAAAGAAATTTACTCGGTAGTAAGTTCACTGTATGGAAAACGAAAAGAAGAAGAAGAAGCAAAAGTAGAAGAAGAAGGAGGCAAAGGAGAAGGAGGAGGAGATGGAGGAGAAATTCGTCTTCCATCGGCGGAGTGCTACTTAGAGAAATCAGAGCGACGTACCATGATAGTGGCGGCACGTTGTCGTCGTCGTCGTAGTCGTGCTACTTACGTCGTACGTAGAAAAAGAAGAAAAGGGAAGGGAGGAAAAAGAGATGGTGAAAAGAGGTAGAAAAGAGTAAGAAGAGGGGTAATGTCAACGGTACACTCGTGCTCGTCATCAGAAGAGCTTTCCTTGTTCTTGATGCGCGTTGGACAATGGCGAGAAAACGTTCTCTCCTTCCCTTACGGTGCGCTACCTCATTCCGCGTCTTTTGCCATCCACGCCCTCCCCACCTCCTGCCATCACCATCAACCACAGCTCGAGCTACTTGCGACGATGAGAGAAAKAGAGAGAAAGAAAGAAATAAATAAAGAAAGAAAGAGAGAAAAGAAAGATAGAAAGAGAAAACGAGTCGGAAGAGGCTCGAGGAAAGAGTATGAGGCCTTTTCAATGTCCTCTTCTCCCTCGCTTCTCCTTGGACGCCTCATTCCTTCGCCTCCGCGCGATCCCTGAAGAAAAAAGCCGTGCACGGAAAAAAAGGAAAAGAAAAAACGGACAAAAGTAACCGAGCGCGCGCCGAGGTACTCGTCGGAGACGCGGATGACACGCGAGTTCGGGTGTATACTTCTTTAGCCCTGAGAGTGAGAGGAAAGGAGTTTGACGGCGACCGTCGTGCTTTTGGGGGTGAAACTAGGGGGTGGTAATGGGGGTGTTTGGAGCGTGCTATATGCCTTCAAGAATTTAAGAAAGCAACGGCTTTCGTTGAATGCGTCGAGAAGGCATGCATTTTACCTCTTCTTCCTTCTCTCTCTCTCTCTTTTGCTCTTTCTTTCTTTCTTTCTTTCTTTCTTTCTTTCTTTCTTTCTTTCTTTCTTTCTTTTTTTCTTTCTTTCTTTCTTTCTCTCTCCTGGCTCGGTTTTCTTTTTTAGCTTCTTTCCGACCGGAGGGCCGAGTGACGACGGCCGTGCTTGAAAAGGAAGAAAGGAGGAGAGAGCGCGAAAGAAAACGACGTAATATGCTCGAGTGGTGCGAAGTGACGATTGTCCCTTTCTTCGCGAACGAGGCGCGTCTTCCGACACCCCCAACCCCTTTTACTATTCGTTTCGTTCTCCTTCTCTATTTCTTCTCTCTTTCTCACGGTTCGACAACTTTATTAGTCACCTTCGCCTCCTTCCTTCGCTCCTCCTCCTTCCTTCTTTCTTTATTTATTTTCTTTCATTCTTTCTTTCTTTTTAATTTCCCCGAGTAGGAACCTTCTTCCTACTTAGGTATATCGTGCCGTACTCCCAGAAAGATACGAGAAACGTTCCATCAAGTGTCTCGCGAGATCTGTTCCTTCACGTTTTAAGTGTACTCGTCTAACCCTCTCTCCTTGTGAGGCAACTTATGTTCATGAACATTTCGACTGTACCAATTTTTTCTATATTAATATGTTCCATTTAACTTCCTTATTTTTAACATTTATTTATAAATTTGTGATAATCTATTCAAACATTTTTATAATATTACAAAAGATCTTATTAGTGTTAGAGATTTTCTTTCTATTTTCAATTTTCTGATCAAATATCAAATTTATTTATAAAAATCAAAGCCTCTTATAAGGTTTTATTATATAAGAAAAAAGAAAAAAATTCAGTATATAACATAATACACTAGTATAACTACTATACATAGAAAAAGGTAATCGGTTGATGAAACGAGTGTTCGCTCACGCTTCTACGATCATGAGGTATTCATGTTAGAATAGGAACCTCGACAGGACGACACGCTTCCTCCAAGCGAGCCTATACATCATCTTTCTCTTTCATTCCCTTTTTAGTCTCTTTAAAAACAATATAATTTTTTTTTGTCTCCTTTTTTATTTTGGCGTCACGTAGGTGCTCCGAAGCGCGACAAATAGAGACAGGAAGCGCGTGTCCACTGGACCAGGTATCCTTAGCGAAGGCTTCCACTTTCACGCAGAGGAAATGAGCTCTCGCTTCTTCCGTTCCTATACCTACCTAGGGAAAAATGGTTACAAGGGTGCGTCGCACGACGACGACGCAAACGCACACGCGTGCGCGCACGTGCTACGCGCACTTATATACATACATGAAATGCATGCATGCTAACTACACACAAGCATTCTCGTTCTTCCTCTCACCCTTTCTCTCTCACTCTCTTTCTCTCTCTTTCTCGTCGTAGACGCGAATAAAAAGCGAACGAAAATAGCCGATTCGCCCTGATACGGCTCGAATTTTTCACTCGACCGGCCATATAAAATTACTTCGCTGCATTAAACGAACAGACTGACTTTAAAATAACGCGAGCCTTGTATATCGTGTTTCGCGACAGAACGAAGAAAAAGAGATAAAGAATGAGATAGAAAGAGAGAGAGAGAGAGAGATGTGAAGGGGTGGTGGCAAAATAGGTTGTTGCTAGAAAGCGTAGCGTGTGTATTCAGAAATAAAAAGAATCAAATAATATTTTATGTGTTTCTGTTCAAGCAAGGGCTGTAAAAATGATATTAGCAGAAAGCAAAAAAGAAAAAATATAAATAAAACTTTTAAACAACAAATCAAATGTAAACATGATTGGATAAAAATGAAAAAAAATGAAGATAAAAAATTTATATAGGAAAATAAAAGATAATAGAATAAAATAAGAGGAGAAAAGATTTTAGTAAAGTCTCTTCTTTTCGATTTTTGGTCGAGACGCGAAGATCGATAGGGCTTATTGAGACGTTTACGAAGCGTAGAAGAAAGAGTGAGTAAAAGAGAGAAAAAGAGAGTGGGGAAATGATGAAAGGACCGAACCGGTGAGTTCGTTGGAGCGAGTAGACTTAACTGGAAGCTTCCACGTTCGCAGAGGAAACGCGTCCGTCCTTCCTTCCGTTCTTCCGTATGTTGCAGAGAAAAGGGAGAAAGAGTGCGATGGATATCGAAAAGCATCGATGTGCATGCTGAAAGATCGGAAGAGAGTGGGAGAGATCGAAAGACAAAGGAGGAAGGGTCAGGTTGATGGTGGAGAAAGGGAAGAAGAAGGAAAAAAAGACTGATGGTAGGAGAAACGTGTAAGGGAGAAAGAGAGAAAGAGAGAGAGGATGAGGAACGATACCTGTGCGACTGTCTGTTGTCCGGATGTCCGTTGTTTTGTTACAATCACGTATCCGTATGGTTTTACGCGGCCCTACATCGGCACGTTAGCGTCGTCAACACGTTGCCGTCGTCATCGTTATAGTCGTCTAATGTCAGGAACTGATCCAGGATGTGAGCTGTAACTGGGAGGATACCAGAAGAAGGTTGGGAAGAGAAGAGGATGGTAAAGAGGCAATAGTGCAGATCGGAGATGAAAGTACAGTGCAAGCTTGAGTGGTACCCAGGAACTTGTGTACTTTCGAAAGGTGTGGAACAACCTGTGCCTGCCTTTGTCGACACCAACACCATTGTTTCGTTGAAAAAGGAAATGATATACTAATTGATTCGTTTCGTTTCCATATCTCTATTACCCTCTGCCTCTTTTTCTCTCTCTCTCTCTCTCTCTCTCTTTTTAGATGACCACTATGATGGCAACAGGCAGTCCAGTTGGACGTCTACGTATGTAGGTCCAGTTTTCCCCGATTTTAGAGAACAAACGATTCATGTGGATGTTCTACAATTTTCGAATTTAGAGACTTCTCTCTTTGTCTATTTCTCTGTCCTTGTCTTTCTTCCGTTTTTCAGTCTCTAGCCCAGCGAATTTCCACCGAAATCGAAAGAATCGAACGTTTATGAGCTTTCGTCGCTATGTCCAAATTACGGACCGATGAATGTGGGTATGAATGAGCGACAACGAGAAAATGGAGAAAAACGAGAGAAAATGTTTCTGCGTTACGACAATGAAAGAGGAAGAGGAGGAGGAGGAGGAGAAGGAAGTGAAAGAGAAGGGGTATAACGACGATGACGGCATAAACATACTCCATAAGTTGCATGCTTCGGATTCCCGCGTGATTCTCTCATCTATCTCTCGGAAAATTATACCAAAGCATGCATTTATGTACACTTTTTACTTTGTCAATATTATTATGTCGCTTTTTGTTTTGAGAAAGTTGCGTGCAAAAAGCATTTCTCGTACGACGATACGATACGATACGATACGATACGATACGAAGGGAAGAACGTTTGCATAAAGAATAAAGAATTTATGCAGTCGTCAGTCACTTGATCTTTTATTAGAGGAACATTAGAAAATTTTTCTAACTACGAGAGATTGTGATGAGAGAAAGAGAGAGAGAGAAAGAAATAGAAAATACAGAAGAAAACATTTTTCATTGGAAAGCCAAATAAAATAAAACATTCGGATTAACCAAGTAAAAGTTTTATATATATTTAAGAAAGTTTTGATATTTTCAAAAGGATATTATAAAGACTCTTATTTACGATGCATAATCTCGAAGATAAGCCACGCGTTCCGATCAAACGGAAAAGACTCGTTACAATCTGAAGGAAAGATTGAGAAACGAATAGACATCGATAGAGGATAAAACTCATCTTACCTTCTTACCAATGTGAAAACGAATTGTGCGCTTCAAGCAGCCTTTTTTCTTCTTTTTTTATCTACTGCGAGAGTATAACCCGAAAGAAGACTTCCTTGCGAATAATAATCTCTTGCCGAGGAAACAAAAGTATCGACGACGACGACTACGACAACGACGAGGACGACGACGAAAGCTACAGACACTATTTTCTCCCCTTCGCTCGACTCAAACTTCCTTCCCTGGGCTTACTTATACTTTCAGACGATTATCGTCGGCGTCTACTTTTACGTCGTCTAATTGATCCGAGAGAGAGAGAGAGAAAAAGAGAGAAACGCCAAAGGGGTCGTGAATTGACTCGATGAAATATTTAGTTGTTCACCGCTCGGGAGAGACTTTTTTCTTCGCATAATCGCTTATTCATGCGGTTTCCTTTAAATCTCAATAATCCATTGTTCGACCACGCTTCTCTAAATATTAATTAAAAAATTATAGGACGCAGTTGTCAGCTCATTACAAATCGCGGTAAGAAAAGCGCTATCTTTTACTGTTTTAAGAACGAGGAAAAGAAAAGAAAGAGAAATATCGAAATATTATAGAATCGATTGAAGAGAAATAAAATTTAAATACTCTTATCATTTTCTTACGATATTGTTGAAAAAATATGAGAAGTAAACCACATACAAAATAGAAAGGTTAAAAATGTGCTAAATGAAAAAATAGAATAAGAAATATGTGAATTGGAGATAATATATTACGAGATTTAGAACGGAAAAGATAACAAAAGTATTGACTAGAGGATACTTCGTATCCATCGTCATAAACTGGACTAGAGACAAAACTTAAGGCAGTAAAGGGCGGTCGTAATACACGTGAGTCGACATAACGAGCCACTGTACCACATAAGAAAGTATTATAAAGCATTTTATTGTTTGCGGGGAAAAGTGCCGCTCGCCTATGGCTTTTGCATCCGTGAACATTTGAAACGTATTACGCGTTTATGCGTTCCTTCGCGCTTCGAACTTTGTGACGATGTGACGGCAACAATTTCTACCAAGAAGAAAAGAGATAAACAGATAGATAGATATATAGATGAATATATTTATTACTTAAGAAAGAGAGAGGAAAAAAGATAAAAGAAGTGATCGAACTTTTTGTTGTTATTATTTATGCATAAGTTGAATGAATTGACTTCAAATTCCTTTTCATTATTTCACTTTAGCATTTTAACAAAAAGACATAAACGCAATATTATAGTAATGAAACGCAATTAAGTTAAGAGCTTATATACTATTCGCACATTGTATGAGAAAAGAAATACGAGAATCAACTCGGACAGGATGACTACCGATAATTTTCTTCATCCGCGGGAGAGATACGTTGTTAACGAACAACGTTAATCATCATAACGAGAGTAATATCTTCTCTATAACGTTTCCTTGTAACCGTTATAAGAAGAGAGATAGACAAAATGAGATTAAACTAGAATTAAACATAATTACATCGTTTAAATTTCTTAAAAAATAAATAGTGAAAACACGAAGATTTCTTGAAATGGATCTTTCCGTAGTCGTGGCAACGAGTATATAAAAGAAACATCGGTTAATTAAAAAAGGTAACTTTTCTCTCCTTCTGTCTCTTTCTCTCTTTCTCTCTCTCTCTCTCTCTCTCTCTCTCACACAGTCTCTCTCTCCTCGGTCAGGAGACGTAATATTAATTATAGCTAAACGCCGTAAAAGTTTCTCGTTGCGGCAGGCGGAAAGCAGGAGCGGCGTGCATCAAGACTTATTAAAGCGATCCTTAAAAAGAATCTCCATAAATTTCAAACGTATCGCGCATTCACGCTGGCAACTCGTCGGTTTCTTTTTAATAATACGACGACGAAGAAAAAGTAAAGTGCATGCGCGCAGGACTCGACGGTCTCTCTCTCTCTCTCTCTCTCTCTCTCTTACTCTTCTTTATCTCTCTTTCTTTCTTTTTCTCTCAGTCTTTTGCTATCTCGTTCTCTCGTTCTCTCTCTCTCGAGACACCAGGAAGATAAAATCCGTATGCAGTCGGCTCACCTATGCAAAAAGCGCGGTATTTAGCGAGACTCGCAAATATATACGCGAATACTCGCTAAAGGGTAAAAGGAGTCGTATCCGCCACGGAAACGCACAATAGCCCGCGCGCGCGCAATTACGAGCACACACACATGGGCTTGATAAGAGTATGAGTATATACTTATATACATACGCGTACGTTCATCCTCCTATCTCTTACCTTCTCTCTCTCCTTCCTCCTCCCTTTCCTTTTTCGCCCTTCCTTTCCTTCGTTCGACCTTTCTCTCTTTCTCTTCGTTCCGTGAATCTGCAACAAGTTTGCCAGCTAGTGCGTATAAACGTATGAATCTATATATATGTGTACGTGCATGGGTGTGTGTGTATGTATTTTTGAGTGTAAGTATTTATGCGAGTCACTGTATCTATATAACCTAAGCACAGTTATGAACGCAGCTAAGAACCGCTGCGACGGCGCTACTACTAATTAGGTAAATGCTCATTATTAATCAGTCAAGCCTTGAATACGCACAAACATCAAAGTTTCTGGCTTGGCCATTTTTGGTGAATAAACCGTACGTATTATATAAATATTATATATGTGTAAACGTTACTACTTATATCGATTTATTCGATTGATAACATTTAATAATAATTTTAACGAAATTTCAACGATTTTATATAAATTTTTGTCTTCATAAAAATTCGTCAGAAATAGTTAAGAAAAAAAAACTGATCAGCGTAATAGCTCACACGGAAAAAATTTATACTACGAATTTTGTAAGAAGACACCGAGAGATTTCTTCATCTTTGTAGCAAGTGTCTTGACCAAGGAAGAAAAGGAAGTCCAAGGAGAAAAGTTCGACAAGTGGATTCTCCTTGAGTTAGAGAACCGATAGGGGTGAGAGCGAAGGTTGAAAGATGTATATATATATATATATATATATATAGAGA